CGGAGATGAGCACCGCAGCCCTAGAGTCGGACTCGATTAGCTTTTGAGCAAGGGAACCTTTACCTTTTTAAGGTGCTACTGGACTCAGATCTTGCTTTTCTACAGTGCAGACCAACAGTTTAAACAGATCATGATGGGTAGCCATGTCAGTCTGTCTGTAGTAGCAGAAAAGAGTAACAGTCCAGTAGCACCTAAATCTCTAATTTAGTCATATTTAAGGTGCTATTGGACTCTTACCCTTTTCTGCTGCAACAGTTTAAACAGCATACTATGTGAATGTGAACTCCTGCAGACAAGAGTTTTGCCTCTGACACCTCATGTTCTACTCAGGCTTACTGTTTCCAGGAAGTCCAGATACTGAAGCTGAAGCTCAAATACTTTGGCCAACAAATGAGAAGGGAGCACTCATTGGAGAAGACCCTGATGCTGGGAAAGATTGAAGGTCAAAGAAAGAGGGGGATGGCAAAGGATGAGATGGTGGGGAATTTCGCATTACCCTTTTAAAACTGTTATTGTACCGTCTTGGAATAAACCGGTACAGGGATGGCCATTTCACACAGCCTTTCCCCTACCGGTAAGGAGCTGTCTCTGAAGCAGTTTGTCATTTCAGACAGTCACTATTGCGCTGCTTTGGGGTTATATTACAGTGCACCATAGCGCTCTTAAAATAAACATTTTTTTGTTTTTTAAAGAAGGAGATAGCCCGCATGGGTGAAAAAGGGTGCAAAAACCTCATCACTGGAGGAAGCACTACGGGGCATTTTACATGACACCCCGTAGCGCTTCAGGAATAGTAGAAGACCTCTTGGAAGCAGTTTGAGGTAAAAAGGGCTCAGGAACACTTCCCTAACAGGACAGAACCGTTTCTGTCTGAAAGGGGAAATATATTCCACTAGGGAACCGTTACTAAAACAGTTCTGTCTGAAATGACAGATAGAAACCGTTAGTGAACAGTTCGTGAAATGGAACATATCAGCTGTCTGAAATTCCCTGTTTAGACAGTGTTATCGATGCAATGAACATGAAATTAAGCAAACTTCAAAGCATGGCAGAAGACAGGAGGGTCTAGCGTGATGTCCATGGGGTCGCAAAGAGTCGGACTCGACTGTGTGACCAAATGACAACTACTCCCGCAGCATGGAGTGGCTCACATTTTGACAAATACAACAAAACCACAAGCTCATCATTACAACAGTTAAAACCTTGGCATTCTCCCGGTACCTAGAAAATGTTCAAAAGAGAAAATGTCTAGCAAACCAATAACAGCTGAAAACAGGATTCACCAAAAGCCTACTGGAACAATTCCATCTTGCACATGTTTCCTCTGATAAAGCACTCCACCAGGACAGGGCTATGATGGAAAAAGGCCTCATTCTGGTGGAAGCAAGAGAGACTACCCGAGGACCAAGCACTATCAAAATATTGCACAATGATGAGCACAAGCAGGTGGGAGATAATATTGGGATTAGTGTGTGGACTCTAATCTGGGAGAACCGGGTTTGATTCCCCACTCCTCCACTTGCAGCTGCTGGATGACCTTGGGCAAGCCATAATTCTGTCAGAGCTGTTCTCTCAAGGACAGTTCTGGAAAGAGTTCTCTCAGCCCCACTTACCTCACAGGGTGTCTGTTGTGGGGAGGGGAAGGGAAAGGAGTCTGTAAGCCACTCTGAGACTCCAAGTGAAGGGTGGGGTATAAATCCAATCTCTTCTTCTTGGGATGGGCAGTCCTCCAGGTATGCTGTTCCCAGACTGTTTAGGGCTTTAAAGGTTATAACCGGAACCCTGAACCTAATCTGGAAACAAATTGGCAACCAGTGCAGCTGCCCCAAGATTGGCTGTATATGAGTCGACCAAAATGAGCTGGTCAACAGCCTGGTAGCTGCATTCTAGATCACATGAAGTTTCCAAAGTATCCCCAACAGCAGCTCTGCATGCAGCACACTGCAGTTGTCCAGTTTGGATGTGATAATGGCATGGATCACTGTGGTAAGATCAGACTGGGGTAAATAGGGGCCATTTGGCAGGTTTGGTGTAGAAACAAAAGCACTGACCTCACCATTGTGGACACCTGTTTGTCCAACAGAAGCAAGGAATCAAGCCACACCCCCAGACTCTTTACTGAGGCCACTGAATTTAAGGGGACTCCATCAAGAGCTGCTAACTGCAGTTCTGCCAGAGACTTGACCTTTCCTAGCCACATGATCTCCATCTTTGGATTCAGCTTCAGCCAGCTCTCCCTCAGCCAGCCCACCACTGTGTCCAGACACTGACTCAAGGCAAAGAGTGCCACATTTGGCTGCTTACCCAACGGGAGAGTTGAGTGCCAGCTGCATATTGATAGCACCCAGCCCCAGACTCCTGACAAGTTCCACTAGAGGGCGTGTATGTGTGTGTGCATTTTAAACAACAATCAGGGACAGGGCAGAACCCTGTGGGATACCAAGAGGAGATCTGGTCCCTGATAGCTGCTCTCTGAGAGTGTCCTTGGTCAGATGAGGCCAGGCAGTTGACCAGGACCAAATAGTCAACTGTATCAAATGCTACTGACAGATCTAATAACATCACCAATGCCAAACTGCCTAATATGCCTAAAACTCTCATGTTTATCCCAATTCTTCTCTGCTGCATTTGCAGTGCAATCCCAGTTTGGTGTAGTGGTTAAGTGTGCAGACTCTAATCTGAGAACAGGGTTTGATTCCCCACGCCTCCACTTGCAGCTGCTGGATGACCTTGGGCAAGCCATCATTCTGTCAGAACTGTCCTTGACAGAGCAGTTCTTGAAAGAGCTCTCTCAGCCTACCTCACAGGGTGTCTGTTGTGGGGAAGGGAAGGGAGTTTGTAAACTGCTCTGAGACTCCAAGTGAAGGGCAGGGTATAAATCCAATCTCTTCTTATTCTTCTAAATACTGTCCTGGGAGTAAGCACCATTGAATAGATCTAAGTAGGATTATGAGAAGAACTGTTTAGAATAAAACTATCAGGTAATCTGTGCTCAATCACAACATTCCTAGAGGATGAGAAGTGTAACTTTATTTTGTGGGGTCAGGGGGAGACAGAGGGTCTGCAGGTGCCAGTTGCAGCCCTTCCTTGCCAGTCAACTGTGGGAAGGGGCTATATGCACAAACTCCAGATGGGTAGCTATGTTAGTTGGTGGCAGCAAAAAAGAGTCCATTGCTTAAAGACGAACATTTATTCCAGCATATTTTTTCTCAGGAGAAAGCTGTTACAAAGAAGAGGCCAGTTTAAAACAAGAGCAAATTCAAAGTGTAATCCAATCAGAGTGGGAAAGGATCACTCCCAGCTGTGGATAACTATTGGTAAACAGGATTAATATTCAGAAACCATTGGGGAAACACTTTAATCTTCAAGGGCATTTTATTACTTGCAGGTCTCAAAGTCACTATTCTTCTACAAAAAAAATCTTCCAACCCTAAACTGATGAATTAGTATTAATAAAATATCATCCTTCCCCACCATAAAGACAGAACAAGGACTTAGGATTTCTCATTCACTCACTATCAGTGCTAATATCTTAACATTCAATTCACTGCCATGGGAAGTGGTGGCGGCTACAAGCATGGACGCTTTCAAAAGGGAATTAGATAAGCAGAGGTCCATCAGTGGCTATTAGCCACAAGGTATAGATAGGGACTCTGGGGCAAGTGATGCTCTGTCTTCTTGGTGCTTAGGGGGGGTCAACAGTGGGAGGGCTTCTAATGTCCTGGCCCCACTGGTGGACCTCCTGTTGGCACCTGGTATTTTTGGCCACTGTGTGACAGAGTGTTGGACTGGATGGGCCTTTGGCATCTCTTATGTTCCTACGTAACATTGGCGTCTCTTGTGTTCTTACGTAACATAACCCACACATCCTTTACAGAGATTAATTAGAACAAATTTTGAGTCCAGTGGCACCTTTAAAACCAACACAAGTTTATTCAAGGTATGAGCTTTTGTGTGCACACAAACTTTTTCAGATACATATGCCTCTACATAGGTGAACAGCAAATTAGCATACCACTTAATAAAGATGTTTTGACTTATGCAAAGACTAAATAGCAATAACAAGCTAAGTTTATAGGTAACAATATGTTTGGATCTAATTACAGGGAAAAACAGTAGAGCAATAAATATGTCAAAGTAGAAGACTAATGTGTAAAACTATCCTTCCTAATTGTTAAGAGTAATTGAGACTCTGCCGTTACGTTCCATTCCTCTCCTCTCAAGCGTGGAGTAAGCTGACAGCAGCCTTTGAGATGGGATGCTGTGTTATGTCAGAAAAACCCTTTGTAATATTTATTGCATCACATTACATTCACTATTCCAAAAAAGAAATACATTAAGGTACAGATATTAATTAGTTCAGCCAAAGTGTTATGTAGCCTCTATCCTATATGCCTATCTAGTTTTATCCCTTCTGATTTTACCGTAGGCAACGTTGCCCTATAGAACAAAATATGGGAGTGGTCCTCATCGATTACTCTTTTGATTGGATATCGTTTTAAACCAGCCTCTCTGTGTGACATCTTCCCACTCACCCTTTCCCGTTGTTTACAGCCTTCAATATAAATTCATCATTATGGACGTACACGCTGACTCACGTTGGAATAAATTCAATTACCTTTACCGTGTTGCTGGGCTCCTGTAACAGTCCAGCTTTATTTTTGCTGAAAATAGCTTTCTAAGACAGTTTGTGAATCAAAGGGTGGGAAAGCCGGAAAGAGAAGGCGAGATATTATTGGATCCCATAGTTTGACTGACAACAGGAAGGCCGAGTCAGGGAGGAAATAAACCGCAGGCGGCGCTAAGGAGGCGGGTGATTATCGGGTGACTACAGATGGGAGTGTTGCCTCTTTCAAGATGGCGGCGGGATGACGCTCAAGTGGCGTCACGCATGGGCTGATCTCGGACGGCGAGCGGGAAGAGAGGGGCGGGCGATGACGAACCGGGGAGGCGGAGGGGTGCTGAAGTACGGAAGCCGAGCAGAGGGCTGCGCTCTCCAATCACTCACGAAGCCGGGTGGTTCTTCTGCGCATGTGGGGCCGCCGCTGCTGCTGCTGTTTTCTGTCTGAAGGTGGGGAAGGCGAGGCGGGAGGACGGAGCGACCCACCAACCTCGCGCTGTCCCTCTCCCTGCGTCCTAGCCATGGCCGGCTACGAGTACGTGAGCGCCGAGCAGTTGGCCGGCTTCGACAAGTATAAGGTGTGCAATGGGGGAGGCATTTCCGAGAGGGGTGGGTGTTCTCCTCGGGGGTCCCTGCGGGGAGGAGCCTCCGGCAATGAGGGGGAAAACCAAGAGGTGAGGGGGCGATAGGCGGCAGCTGGCAGAGAAGGGAGGAAGGATGCTGAATGGCGCCTCCCGGGAATTTGCGGAGGGCAGCGTGCATTGCTCGGTGCTAGTACCACATGGATTGCATGCAGAAGGTCCCGAGTGATCTTGGGTAGAGAATGTGTTAAAAACCTTTCTCGGCCAAAGATCGCTGCTGGGCGAGACAGCGGGGGGCTGGGGCTGGGCTCTGGCTCAGTCCCACGCGCGGTATGTTGATGAAGGTCTCTGGGGAGCGGGCCGTCCGTCCTTCGGTGCTTGGTATTGTACGGTATGCATGCTGAAGGTTCCTGGCTCAGTCCCTTGCTATCCCCCGATTAAAAGGTTTATGTAGCAATTCTGGGAGAGCTCTTTCTCTGCTTGCCAGTGCTGGGGTGTAGTCTGATTTGTTATAAGGTGTCTCTATAGATTAAGTTGCATGCACACTGTGCTGGAGAAGGGCTCTGGCTTGGGAAACTGTGGAGGGGATCATGGGTGCATGTTAACGCATGGCTTCCAGTTAGAAGGTTAAATCTCTGGTGCTTGGAAAAGACCTCTTTGGGTTTTCTTTTTACCTGAGTCTATTGGCAACTATTGCAGCGGCTTAGGCAGGCCATTGATCCGTTTTTGCATGAGGTATCTTCACGTGTGAAATTATTGTGCAACGCACACTCTTTATGCACAGCTCTTTTCTACTGATTGTCTTTCAAACAGGAGGCTATACACCACCCCTGCTCCTTTACTTTCTCCTCCTTGCCTGTCCCCACCCCCTTCTTACTTTTGGGTTAATATAAATGCCAGTGTCTGGATTGGGAATGTGGCCTGGGTATCATTCTCCTCTCCAAAAAAATAAAATAAAAATTAGGGCAGAGCACTAGAAGTTCACTTTCCTCTCTAGGTTCCCATTTCCCTGTTACAATATTCAGGAGAGTGTGTCTGTAAGGAAGCTCATTTTCCACCTATCTGTTCTGTAAGGCATTACCCCTTTTTGTATGTATCTGACTGGAAGCATCAGGAGACTCTGCATTGGCAAGAAAGAGAGAAGAGGTGGCAGTGGCGGCAGTGCAGAGATATCTTCCAGTCCACTGAGGTGTCTCTGTGCCTTTCTACTGTTTGCAAGAGTACAGCTGTGTAAAAGCCATTTCCATTTCATTTATTAGCTTCATTGACCTGAGGTCTTAAGCCAAACATGCAAACAACAAATATAAAATGCATTACATAAAATAGTGTAAAAGCTAAGATGTGCACAGCAGATGGTGTGCTGAGTCTTCCTAGCTTCTCTTCTCAGTGTCCTGTGTATTGTTGATGATAGCTGGATGATGTCAAAGATACATACCCTGTGTAAAACCCACTTGGTTTCCTGTGTGAATTCCTGCCTTCTTTCAGTCATGGAATTCCTGCCTATGGTACATGTGGGAAGAATGTAGAAGACACGGGGGAAAGGGGTGGAGGAGCAACCACACTTGCCTCTGGGATGTGTTTTCCTCCTACGCCCTTACAAACAGTGCCAACATTGGGATGTGTGCAAGTAGTACGGTCCCTGCCCAGTGAGCTTCCAATAACTGTTGGGTTTGTCTTCTTCCTGGTCCTGTCACAGTGGGCTTTGTGAGGGATCTTGCTATGATTAAGGGACCAGCGTGACAACCACTAGTTTATCTTGTTGGCTGAAGAGGTGAATGTATGCTTGGGAGTATATCTAATGAAAGTCCTTTTGCATTTGCAATAGCAAACAGGTGAAATTGCATGATTTCTCTGGCCTACTTGAAGAGATGCAGCCCTTTTATCCTTCCAAAAGACTTCTTCAGAGCACTGCTTGCCTGTCTTTGGGTTGTTAAGGCTTTCTAGATGCTGATGTAGATCGAGATGGGTATGTTAGTCTGTAGTAGTTGAAAAGAACAAGAGTCCAGTAGCCCTTTGAAGACTACCAAAATTAATGGCAGGGTATGAGCTGTTGTAAGTCACTGCTCACTTCTTCAGACTTGAAGAAGTGAGCAGTGACTCACAACAGCTCATACCCTGCCACAAATTTTGTTAGTTTTTAAGGTGCTGCTAGACCCTTGTTCTTTTCTAGATGCTGATATATGTTTGCTACTTACTACTACTTTGGTCACGTTATGAGAAAACAAGACTCACTGGAAAAAAGCAATTATGCTAGGAAAGTTGGAAGTAGTAGGAAAAGAAGACCCAGCATTAGATGGATTGACTCAATAAAGGAAGTCACAACCTTCAGTCTGCAAGACCTGAGCAAAGCTGTTAATGACAGAACATTTTGGAGGCTATTAATTCGTAGTCACCATAAATTGGATACAACTTGACAACGCATAACACACACACTTAATGCTGTAGTATGTGGAACTAGGTGATGTGCTACATTCTATTGCACCTTTTAAGTGCTTTCATTTTAGCTGTTCGATTTAACAAGTAAATCAGGTTTAGTAGTGATCTTACCAAATAAACATTTGATATTCCTTACCGTATAAACATTTGATATTTCTTACCATATAAACATTTGATACTTTTGCAGTTAACAATGGAATGCTTCAGCTTTAACTGAACTAAGGAGCTGCGGCAGTTGTTGATGCTTGGGTTCTGTAGCTGGTAGCACATGCTTCCCTTCAGGAGTCTGGTTTTCTCTACACAATTGCTTCTCTCTGGAAGACCTGTTCAAGATGGTTGCATAAGTAACTTTAATTTGCAGATTGCCATGGCAATCTGAATCTTCATGCAAAAGATTCTTATGTTGTCTTTTCCTAACAGGAGCTAGCCCAATAAGAGACAGCATTTTTTCTCCATTCAGTTTTGCTCCCTGGAACTAAAAAAAAAACGGTGCCTCTGTAGCAAGCGCACATGCTTCTCTGTCTATGATGCAATTTTGCCAGTAGCTGTGGATTTGTAGTGGCCTGTACATGTTACTGGCTTTTCTTGGTGTTTGACTCACCTGAGAATCTTCAGTTGCATATGGGATCACCCAAGAGAATGGGTTTTTTTTGTTTTGTTTTTTGAGGCAACCAACAGGTGCGGTTCGTGGTTGCAAAACTGGTGATGGTAAGTTACTCACTCATAGCTCTGGGAAACCCTGGCAGTTGGAACTAGTTCAATTAGACAGGCAATGCATCTAATTGTTCTTGATGAAGATCACAGTTTTGATTTTTCGGGAAGTAGGACTGGAAAAATTCCAGGTGTCTATCTGCTAAAGAACTTCTCAATTTCCCCCCTCCCCAGTGTACAGTAGAGCCTACACATTTCATATTGCCATGGGTCAGAATTGAATTTTCTTCCATTGAAGCCATGAAGAGCAGGCTGTGGATGTTAAGAAAGCACTGATAATATAAAGCTAATTTTGACTGAAAATGGAAGAAGAGCGTGGCTTTCCAGGATAAATCTTGGATATCAGGCAATGCTCCTTCTAAGCTGTGGAGTCGTGTGAGCAAACATTCTATGTTGTGAGCTACTGGCATTAAAGTTGTGAGCGAGCGATTTGGCTGCTGCATAAAATAGCTTGCTCTGGAGCCATCTTTCCTGAGCTAAGACAAAAATGTCTGAGCCGGAAGCTAGAAAACTGTGAGCTAGCCCACACTAACGCAGCTTTGAAGGAAGAGTGCCAGGCACCATCCCGACCCCCTTCCTAACATTATTTTTAGGCAGCCTCTTTGCCTATAATTTTAAAAGGTTTAATGCTTCTCTTTACCCCCAAACCTATTGGTGCCACTGCAATAAAGTGCTCATTAATTCTGTGTATATATATATTAAATGGAGCAGTTTATTCTGTTTCCAAAGGTAGATTTCAGAAATCTGGATAATTGGAGTGAATTCAGAAGTGAGGTTATGGCCTTGGTGTGCTGTTATTCTTTCTGTTTTGACCTTTAATGAGAAGTGTTTCCTTGAGTTGAATGGGAACACACATGGGTAGTGTGCTCTGCTATGTCTCACTGTGTGTTCCTCGTGTATTATCAAGGGTGTGGTGACTTGACAAGAATGAATGGGCCTTCATAAGGCTGAGTTTTTGGGGCAAGTAATTTCTACGTTGCAGGGCTAAATTTTGGCAGCTTGTTGGCTGGTTTCTCTGTTAAACTGAATTCAAAGGTATCTGGGCCATATTAGTGTTTCTGTTGTGTAACTTGTACACATTTAGCTGATTGCTTTCCCTTTTTTGCCTGTTAAACTAGGCTTTCAGTAAAGGTAGTCTCCACACATCAACAATTCTTCCATGTCCCAATGGTTCATGGTACAAGCAAAATCACAAGCTTCCTCACTGACACAATCTCCATTTAGTGAAAGAGCCTTCTGGTATTTATTTGCTTCATTTATATTCTCCACAATGAGGAACCAAATTGGCTTACATTTTTCTCCTCCATTTTCTCCTCACAACAACTTGTGCGGTAGGCTTGGCTTAGAGTGTGGGACTGGCCTGGGGTCACCCAGTGAACTTCCACAGGAAATGGCGATTCAAACTTGGGTGTCTTGGATCCTAATGTGAGACCCCAGCCACTACACCACACTTGCTCTGTATCTATTTGCCACAGAGATCTCTTAGGCCCCTGCCACACGGCAGGGGAAATGCCTCTTAAGGCGCGGCTTTTAAAAGCCGCGCCAATGTTGAGACGCCGCGGCGGGATCCCACGGATCCCCTGGCTGCGGCGCCTTTTCTCCCCGGCGCGATCAAACGCCGGGGAGAAAATACGGCCCTAACCGGGAGCCGGACGAACTGCGCATGTCGGAGCATGCGCAGTTCGGCTCCGGGCCGGGGTTGTGCCGGCGCAAGGACGCGCCGGTGATCAAACGCCCGGTTTGCCCCGCAGCTACAGGATGAACCACCAAAGCAGGTGGTTCAGTTTGCGGCGGCTTTTCCCGGGAAAGGGCCAGTTCGGGTACGGAAGGAGGACGCCTCACAGGTGTTG